TACTAGTACCATAACATGTTATTTGATAGTTGTGAGATTTTTTTTTTTTTTTAAAACAAAGAGTGTAGTGAAATGAAACAAAAATCACTTACTCGTTTATGAAATATTTCTCTGACATTTTCTTGAAACTTTGTTCAAAATATACTAAAGCCTTACCAAAATCAATATTTGAATTGACAATTGATGAATTTTTCCCGATAATTTTATAAATACAATTTTTTATCAAAAAATTTTATAGTACCTAAAAATAATGAAATTGTTAGGCAATATTTTTGTCCATTGTTGCGACTACAGAGCACGTGGGGAGGGGCCTTCAACGATGGAGAACCTCGGTGGTGGTGGTGGCTGCGGCAATGTGAAGGTTGGGTGAATATATGGCCGGGATGCGTGTTCAGACAAGCTCCGGTGGCGGAGAGTGGCAAATCTCTATGATTTGGTGGCGGTGTAAGGAATGATATCACATATGTTGGCAGGATCATTTTTGGGTCATCAAATAAATTATTTAGTTCAAGATTGTCACCAAATACAAGACTCGAATAAATAATCCTAATCGCAGTCCCAATCCCACTTAGCAAACACATCCTGAGAATTAGTATAATTTCCTAGTAGTTTGCTCCTTCTTGAACCTTGACATTCACAATACCTTTTTACGTGATGATAATAATACATCGACACTAAAAGTTTATTATATAGTGGAAAAACAAGGTAAATAGAAAATCAAAACTAGAGTAGTTAAAAAAGGTCATAGAATGGTGTCGGGGTCTAATTAATGATACCAATGCTAGTTCACAATTTTATTGTTTCATTTTACAATCATGATAAGTGCACGACATCGCTAACAAATAATAAAAAGTGAGTTTAAAAGTATCGTTTTCACGAGAATAACATATTTATTAGGTACTAAAATTGGATAATTTTAATTTTATTTGAGTAATTGAAAAGATGAGTTTTAATTAATTTTACAAAATTAAAATTTAAAACAATAATAAAATTTAAAAATAATAAAGTAAAAAGAAAATTATTTTCTAAAATGACAAGACAAGGATAAAACAATGATTATGAAAATGCTAAGAATCATGATTTCATCAATATTAATCGAATTTAATTTATTTAAACATTACTGTGATTTTGAGATCATACTATGTTGATGGTCAAATCCTCTTATGTTTTACGTACACTTTCTCAAGTTACACATAAAATATACATTTTCATAAAAAACTCATTATATCTCTATGTGAATTAAATTATAAAAATGTTCATTAAGATTAAAGGATTAAAAATGAGCATATAAAAATATATAGATTTATCTCTATACCACCTCAGAATTTACTGTATTTATTTCAGAGCTACGGCACAAAAATCCCCTCTTGGTTTTATTTTGATGCTCAATTCATTCAAAAAAGTTGATTAGAAATTTTGAAAGCATTACGTCCAGAAATAAATAGGTCAACACAAGTATGACAATCACAATAACGTTTATACAAATTAAATTCTCGTAATATGATTACGTCATTATCCCAGCAGAAAATAAATTTAAAACATAATTATAATTAAACTAACAAAGTACAAAAATATTCAAATAATATTTTCATAACAACAAATATAAACGTAGAGTTTTAGTACAAACACTAGTAGCGGATACAGTTTCTGATATGCCTCAGATATCTCCTAACAGGACTTAGAACTCCTCCTCCATAATTTCAAACTTAAAAAACTAAAAATTACAAACTTTGAAATTTAAACTAATAATTACTAAAATAAAGATTTTTTTTTTAATTTCTAAAGAGCTCTAAGGCTCGAAGGATGATTTGAAGAGTTAGGGAAGCAACCTATTTATAGGCCTTGGAATGATGATGAGTCCAATGCATAGATGTTGTAGAGTCACGGAGTTTTACAAGTTGCTTTCTTTTTTTTCTTCCTCCGAAATCACCGTGAAAATCCAATATTTTGGACTTAATCTAGTGCGGCAAGGACAACGTGAAACTGGATTTCTATTGGCCACTAGAAATCAACAAACATTTCAAATTGATCCGGCCCACAATTTAATAAGTATGACACGTGGCAAAACTAGATTAGTATGAGAAAGCGAGCTCACATAGACTGGCTCTCATGGGAACAAACACAAGAAAGATGCTTTCCAACATGTGAGGCTCGCTGATGTTTCCTTGTTTGCTCACTCTCTTCCCTTGGAGAGTGTAATGCACTCTCCAATCCTGACCATCCAAGTGCTTCGATCCAATGAATGCGATTCAATCTGAAAATAAAATAAAAATTATTGGGCGCGTTTGGAACTCGTTTCAAAATGATTTTGTTTTTAGTATGAAAATGAAAATAAAAACGTTTTCAATCTCAAACAGAAATCATTTTTAAAAATACGTTTGGTAGTTTTATCAAGAAATTATTTTCAGTATAAAAAACTCGTTAATGTGTCTCTCTCCATCTCTCTGCTCGAGAGAGGAGAAAACCACACAAAACACATATATAAATATTTATTTATACAAATTAAAATAAAAATACATAAAAAAATAAAATCACACAAAAATAAATAAAAATATAATAAACTAAAATTAAACAAACCAAAATAGATTAAAATATCGAGAATTAAGCCGGTTTTTGTACCAAATTAAAAGTAAAAGAACTTTATTTTGTAAAGTTATCACATGATATTTAAAATTTAGAAGTATATCATTCTCTTTTACATAATTCATGACACCAACATTAGCATTTTTAGAAATTGCACAAAGTTATACAAGTGAACATTTTATTTTACAATTCTAATTGCTCTTGACATTGATATTGAGAATTGTTATCCCAATATAGTAGAATAATCCTTTAGAAATGCATTCATTTACATGCAAATATTTGGACGATTGTTCATTTGTATTTTTTGAGTTAAGGTGACTTAATTTTAGATCTTAATTTGACTTAAGGTGTATTTGATTATGGTTTAAGTTGAGACTCTAATTTGAGTTTGTCTTTGGATGTGGACATTTAAGGCACTGTTTATTTCACTGATTCGAGTTTTGCTACAGTAAAAAGCTCTCATAAACAGTCACATCTAACTTTTTTGCTACAGTAAAAATCTCTCACATAAAATCATATCTTAACTCGAATCATTGAACTAAACGGGGCCGTTATGGTTTGAATTGAGAATCTATTTGAGTTTGTGTTTGAGTGGGTCAAAATTTAAATTTGTATTTAAATGATATTTTAATAAAAACTCAATGGTAATCGAAACTTTTAATAGGGCATATGGGTGGGGTTTTATTCGTCTCTTCGGTGTGAATGCATAGGAAAAAAATCATCTCAATCGGAATTAAAATAAAAAAGTTATGGCGTTTTTAAGATAGAAAAAATAATGTTTATTAGTTTCAATTTGAGTTTAAAAACTTGAGTCTGGAGAACTTGAACTCAGATTTTAACTATAAACTCAAATTAAAACTTAAATTTAAACTCAAATTTTATAAAAGAATATACACTTAAATAAAATTATAATTTAAATTATAATTTTTTTTTTAAAATTTTGGTGTAAATAAACGAGCTCTTTCGGTTCCAAAGAAAAGGCAAAAGAAGAGAAAAAGGAAAAGGGTAATTTCCACCAAGGAAGAAACTCCCTTGCTCCCATGTGGGGTGGTTGCACTTCTTTTGGCACAAGAAACACCCATCCGACTCTTTTTCACGCCAGATCAAATCAAACACTTACCAGCTTTTTCCAATTAAAGAACTTCTACCAGTCCAAATTAAGCTATTTTACCCCATCTCATAAATTCGTACAAACTAGCATGATTTTGGACACATGTAAGTTATCCCCCCTCATCATTATTGTGCCATTAAGATTTCCAGATTGTAGAATAATTTTTTTAATTTTTTTTTAATTTTTTTGGCTTGTAATTGTAGCATCAAATTTTGTTAACCACTAAACCCACCAAAAAAAAAAAATGAAAAAATTAAGGAGACGTTTTATTCATAAATTAAAATTATGAGATTAAAATTATTTTTTATTTGTGTATATTTTTTATAAAAAAAAAAATTATAATAAATTATAAATTTTTTACCAAACGTCTTATAAAAAGACTAATATTGTTTTTCCCAAAAAAAAAAAATAAAGAAGCATGAACAATCAATATCATTAAAGTTCTCCAAAAGTCAAAAACAGAGGCGAGTGTTTTAGCCTGAAAACAGAGAAATTAATGCAAGTGATAAGACATAAAAGATAGAGAGGGAAAAAAAAAAGAAAAGGAAAAAAGAGTATTAGTAATATGGTGGGGTCCACCGAAGAGTTAGGTTGGGGTGAGACAGAATCGTATAGAAGACTAGTCAGATAAGGGCTTTAGATTTGGCAGAAAAGATTTTCATTTTACCCCTTCCTCTCTCTTTCTTCACTCTTTTCTTTTCTTCACTTTCTTTTTTCAATTTTTTTTTGACGAGCATTTTCTTCACTTCTTTTCATATCGGCCAAATCCGTACTTTTTTCTCACCCGTCACAAGCAAGAAACCCCAAACGGAAACAAAGAGAACCCATAAATAATTTAACAATAACCAAAAAGGACAAAAGAATAAAGTTAAAGAGAAAAAGAGAAAAAGAGAAAAAAAATAAAAGAAGCTAAGAAATGGAATTGATAACGACACTCCCCTGTTTTGCTAGTTCCACACTCGAACGGACAGTAAAGTGGCGGTGGCAGTAGCAAAATGTGGGGCGACCATAACGGTCTTTTTTCCCCGCCAAAATAAAAGACCGCTGATTTCACTTTACTTTCGGCGATTAGAGACGCAACGACGGCGTTTTGTACGCTCCTTTCATCTAAACGGCGTCGTTTGAAGCTCCGTGACTTGGATTATTAATTTTTTTGCCTTGGGAATATAATTTCCCCCGAAACATTGGAAATCGATCCTAGAACTGTCTCTTTCAAATAATAATAAAAAAAATAAAAAAAAGAGAGAGAGAAAAGCAGAGTAAGAGCATTTTCTCTGAACACAAAAACCATGTTCGAATAGAGAATTTTCAGAGATACTTCCACATTTTCTAGGTTCTCCTCTTCTCTTCTCCCCATAGTTTTCCGAGAAAATCCTCATTTGTCTCTACAAATCTGAAAGCAGGTTATTTCTTGTTTGTTTCCTAAGAAAACTCGGCGGAAAATTGAACAGTTTTCCTTTCTCCCCTCGTTCGTGTGAAATTAACAAAAAAAATCTGATATTGATAACGACATTCTTGCCTTTTTCTTTCTTATCTCTTTTCTCAGCTACCAAACGTTGACTGCGGTTATTGATTTTAGTTCGGTGCTGTTTCTGCGTTTTTTCTTCTATTGTTTCTGGTTTTGGTTGGAGTTTCTGCAATGGCGGACTCGGGTAAAGTGCGGTTGGTTCGGTGTCCAAAGTGCGAGAATCTTCTTCCAGAGCTGGCTGATTACTCTGTCTATCAGTGCGGTGGTTGTGGAGCTGTTCTTCGAGGTATGCTTCGTTTTATTTTCCTTTTGTCCAGCTTTACCTTTTCTTGCCGAGAAAATAGAGTCTTGAAAAAAAGAGGAAAAATTTTCATCTCTTCTGGTCACGTTAATCTCGAAATGGCTTTGCTTTACCGGAATGTTTCATAATCTTTAACGCCAATTTCTTTAATAAAACAAGAGAAATTGCAATTTAGCTGATTTTCTTGTGATTTTCTGTTTGATTTAGAAAATTAATCCGTTTTGGCTTTATGGAAGCTCAGGTTTAATGATTTAAACAATCAAATAATTTCTCTCTAAATTATTACATTATTATGAATTTTGCAAGAAGAGAATTTTTCTTACAATTCTGAGGAGGGAATTTTTATTTTTTATTTTTTTTTACTTCACAGCAAAAGCTAAGGGGCAAGAGGGGGATACTTTGTCAGAGAAGTCAGATGAGGAGAAGGTTGGTGGAGTTTCTGCTAAATTGGAGAATTCCTTGGAAACAAGACAAGTTGAGTCGTGTGATACTTCTAACTCAGATGTTAAGTTAGTTTCTGGTTCTTTGAGGCGTGATCAGAATAATTACGAGTTTGAGAAGAAAGATACTAGGAACGGTGAGGTTTGTAAGAATCAATCCAAGGTTACAGCTGATGAATGGGTGGTTGAGGATGGTATTGATGTGAGCAGAAATAAAAAGCATGAAGTGGGTAATGCCTCAGAACTTGGCTCGACCGGTGAATTCCGAAGATCGGGAAGGATGACGAATTGGAAAGTGGGGGATAGAGGTGAAACCGAAGACTTTGGGGGAAACACAAGAGTTGAGGTTGAAGGTGTGAGGTTTTCAACTTCGAATTGTCCGGATGAGGGTCCATCTAATTACCAACCGGGCTCTTCTCGCGGTTTCGGCGACTCGGCGAAGAAACAAAGTGTCCCAGATGGATCTAGATCTCAGTACCTAGAACAAGATCGAGCCGAGCTTCTCAAGAAGCTAGATGAACTGAGGGAGCAACTTAGTCGGTCCTGTGATGTGGTTGACAAGCCTAAAGAGAAAGTTCCTCTTGATGGAAGAATGATACCTCCTGATCCTTACGGTGGTTCTGATGCTTGGTTTCCAGATGGTTCGTCAGGGTCTAATAGGCCTTTTATGCAGTACGTTAGACCTGATAAACATGTCACTGGATCCCCTAATTTTGGTCATTATGCTGA